TGTTCTGCTAAGAAAGATGGAAAGCTGATGAAAAGATAGTATTTTCATGGTCTTAATGTTTGCAGAAGATTTGCAATGAGGACTGGGTCTGAAAGAGATGATGGCTAGAATAATTTTTTTATTTTTTTGGAGACAGAGTCTCACTTGTCGCTTTGGGTAGAGTGCAAGGAGTCACAGTTCACAGCAATTTCAAACTCTTGGGCTTAAATGATTCTCTTGTCTCACTCAGCCTCCTGAGAGGCTGGGACTACAGGCACCTGCCACAACACCCAGCCGTTTTTAGAACCTGTGAACTCAGGCAGTTTACTCACCTCAGCCTTCCAGAGTGTTAAGGCAAGTATGAGCCACTGCACCTGTCCAAATAATTTTTTTTTTTTTTTTGAGACAGAGTCTCAACTTGCTGCCCTAGGTAGAGTGCCATGGCATTAAAGCTCACAGCAACCTCAAACTCCTAGGTGTAAGCAATTCTCTTGCCCAGCCTTCCAAGTAGCTGGGACTATAGGCACCTGCCACAACACCCTGTGGCTTTTTTTGTTGTTGCAGTTGTTGTTGCTTTAGTTGGCCTGTGCCAGGTTTGAACCCACCAGCTTCCGTGTATGTGTCCAGTGCCCTACCCACAGAGCTATGGGCGCTGCCCCAAATAATTCGTTAATAAGGAAAAAGGAGTATAAGTAGATGCTAGTGTAGATATATACCCAACAAAATGAATTTTTAGTAGGCCAGAACTCTGTGGATCCATTTTCACTTTTTTCTTTCCATTTGGTTCATTTTCGAAAGCTATGAGGTGAAAGGGTATACAAAAATTACACATTGACCTTGAAGTCAAGAATCTCACATCCGTATTTCACACGCTGTGGCCATACTGGACCCTACTGTCATCTAAACATGATAGACCATTTTATAATTCTGTGCCTTTGCAGGGGCCTTATGCTAACTAGAATTATAGGTACAAGGTAATACACATGAAGGAGGATTCGTTTTCTCTGGGACTGATGGAAGGCAAAACAGACTTGTTGATTCTTGAGAGACTGAGTCGAATATGCCAGGTGCTACTCATGCCAGTAATAGCAGGACTCTGGGAGGCCAAGTAAGGAAGGTAGAATTACTTGAGCAAGAGTGAGATTCCCATTTCTACTAAAACTAGAAAAATTAGCTCAGTGTTGTGGCTGGTGCCTGGAGTCCCAGCTACTCAGGAGGCTGAGGCAAGAGGATGTTTGAGCCCGAGGATTTGAGGTTACTGTGAGCATTGGCACCATGGCACTGCACATAGGGCCACAGAGTGAGACTGTCTCAAAAAAAAAAAAAAAGTTTCTGATTAAGATGGTGACAAGTCCTGGAAATAGAGGATGGTGGTGGTTGTACAACATGGTGAATATTTTTTCCTTTTCCCTTTCCTTTCGTTTTTCCTTTCCCCTTTCATTTTTTTGTTGTTGTTGTCATTGTCATTTAGTAGGCTTGGGCCAGGTCTGAACCCACCAGCCCTAGTGCATGTGGTGGTGCCTCAACCACTGAGCTACAGCCGAGCCATGGTCAATATTTCTAATGGCACTAAATTGTATACTTAAAGTTTACTGTTTTAACCATTTTTTTGTCATTAAAAGAGAAATGTGAGATAATGCTTATGAAGTTGGATTAGTGTACTAGAAGTTCCCATAGTGGTTGGAAAACTTAAGCATTGAGAGTAATTTTATTAATAAGCTAGAAGAATAGATTGCAATGAGAAGTGGAGTATCTGATTTATTGATCTGAGAGGTGACATTCCAGATGAAATCTAGGTATGGTGTGGAGTCACAGAATTTGAGCTTGGGAGATACAGCAAAATTTAAATTCCAACCTTATCTTTTTTTAACAGTTTAATTAAAACCATATGATTTAGTAATTGTATTACTAAGGCTCTCTGTACTTTATTCTATTACATGGATAAGGAAGCCATAATCATGTAATACAGTAATTGTATTATGTATGTTTATGCTTTAAAAAGTGCCAGCACTTAGGTATGAAACTTAAAATTACAAAAATAAAGGAGAAATACTTGAGGAAATAAGAGATTGATTTCTCAGAATTTAAAAAAGATGAAAGAGCTCAGATCGAAAGGCCCATTACTGATATCACATAGAGTTAAGTAAAAACCTACATCTGAACAGTTTAGTGATATTTAAGACTATCAGAGATAAAGAAAAGTCTAAACATTATCAAATAACATTACAAAGGAACAAAATTCAGGCTTGGTGCCTGTGGCTCAAGTGTCTAAGGCGCCAGTCATGTACACCCAAGGTGGTGGGTTCGAATCCGGCC